TGGGCTGACTCTAGGTCCTTTCGTCTCAGTCATCTAATGCTGATATATCAAGTCCAGAATCCTACCATTGATATTTCCAGATGATAAAAGTTAAGAAAATATTCTGATGAAACAAAGAATGCTCTTCACCACAGCCTCTACCAGTAGCAACCATAAAAGTATTGCAATGCTAAGAGGGATTAGTGTATTAAACAATATTACTTACTATTGACACAATTCAACTTGTTGAGTCTTTAACTAAAGAACCCACTTTAAAATATGCATTTTCATCCCTTAAAAAGAACAGCTGAAGACCCATTTTTAATACAAAAATTTCCTGCAATCCCTTCAGATAGTATAGTAACAAGTGAAACACTTTATGACAATGTAAACACTTTCATCATTTGTACGCAAACAAACATGTTGGAGATCCAAGATCACTTCTGTCATATTTTATCAAAAATCTATCATGCTGGATAGGGGACATTACTGGAAAACTCTCCAGTCTAGTAAGGCCCTCTATTATTTGTTATTGGTTGTTCAAGCTGGCAGCAACACAGTAACAAATAAAAGACTGAGGGCACTCAAAGAGACTCAAAAGGGCCCCAGGACAATTGATAGAAGGATATGGAGCACAGGGAGTGGTTTCCTAAATCCTTCTGGTATTAAGAAATAGTATTGATAGGAATAGGCAGATCCATCAGATTGACATATGGCTCTGAGGTTGGTGCCATCAGAAAAACTTTGGGTCTATGGCCATGGGATAATCTATTCAGCATCTGTTCACTGATACCTGATGGGTTGGTTGTACCTTTCTCAAGAGTGGAAAAAGAGCTCTAGCACAGGAGCTAGCAGGGCTCGTTATCAGAGCTTTAAACTGCCTTGGAAGGGAGAAAAGGAAAATACCCAGCTCGCCAGTGATGATCAGAAGGATGGTGTGTCAAAACTTGAGGAAATAACTAATGGACCACCTCAATCTGCCTCCTGAGGTGTTGCTAGAAAGTACCACACCCAAAATGTTTCTCTACCAGTACACCCAGCATGAGGAACAAACAAGAGCTGCTCAAAGCTTTGACTCAGTCCCAGAGATTTGGTATCATTGACTTAAATGAAACTTGGTGACTGGAGTGCCCTGCTGGGCAGCTACAGGCTCTCCAGGAGACCGACACAGGACAAAAGAGGCAAGGGGTGGCATCACATGTAATGGAAGGGCTGGAATGTACAGGACTCACAGTTGGCAACGGTGCACTTGAGAGCCTCTGGATAGGAATAAGGGACAAACAATGTGAATGTCATTGTAGGAGTCTGCTACAGACCTCCCAGCCAGGATGATGACACCACTGAATTCTTCTTTAAGGAACGAAGGGATGCTTCCAAATCAACTGGTTTGTCTTTATGGGTGACTTCAGCTTGCCAGAAATCAACTGGAAACATCACACAACAGGTACATCTTGGGTCAGAAGATTCCTAAACACCTGGACAACTTTGTGGAAAACATCCTAAGGGAGCTGACTCAAAAAGATGCCTTCTTTGATCTGCTGCTTGCCAACAGAGAGAATCTTATGAGCAAAGTGGAAACTGGGGTCATCTTGACCGCAGCAATCACAAAGCCATTGAGTTTAAAATCTCTGTTGACAATAAGAAAGCGCCAGCAGAACTTCAGCCCTGGACATGAGGACAGCAGGATTCAGGCTGCTCAGAAGCTAGTAAGTAAAGTTCCCTGGGACTTTTCTGCAGGTGCTGGGCTCCATCAGTGCTGGCTTCTTCTTAAGTGGCACCTCCTAAAAGCACAAGATCAGGCAATTCCTGAATGTCACAAGTCAAACAGATGAGACAGAAGGCCAACTTGGCTGAACAGGGATGTCCTATTGAATATAAGGTAAAAATGGAAGGTGTATTCCCAATGGAAGCAGGATCAGGTGACATAGGAATAATACAGAGATGCTGCTTGCTACTTCAATATTTATTAGAAATGGAATCAACGTGAGATGTCAACCTCAATGGACAAAGCTGCAGGAAACCAGGCTTTGCTAATTCAATCATACAGGAAACCATTTGTCTAAAAATGACAGGCCTTGAGGTAACAGCATAAAGCTGATTCAGGGAAGATTTAGGTTGGATATTAGGAAAGACTTCTTCATCCAGAGGGGCTGGGCACTGGAACAGGCTTCATAGGGAAGTGGTCATGGCACCAAGCCATGAGGCACCAAGAGGTGTTTGGACAATTGTCTTGGGCACATGGTGTGATTCTTGCATTGTCCTGCACAGGGATGAGAGCTGGACTTAATGATGTTGATGAGTCCCTTCTTACTCAGCATATTCTATGATTCTGTAAATTTTAAGGAACTTCCTAAAGGATAACATTCTGGACCGAAGGAAATTCGGCACAGGAGCAGTAAAGATTTAAAATAAAAAAGCCACTATCAAGGTACAGTAAAGTCTGCAGTTTGGAAAGATGTGCGCGTTAGTTTGTTTGTTGAATAAATCTAGCAAATAATTAGAATTTCAAGTCACAGACTATACATCCCTTCAGAAACTCAGAAACACAGCAAAGCCACTCCCTCTTCTGGGGTGGGTGGGCATTACAGACTGGTTAATCAGATAATTTAAACAAACTCCTCTAGAAATAAAATGCATATTATGCCATTTTCCATCAAGTTAGTTAAAAAAAAAAAAGAGCCGTTAGGTAGATCAAGAGCAACCAGTCACTTGGTGAGACACTGAGAAGACATTCTGACACTTACTTTCTTAATAGCCACGATTTGATTGTTCGTCTTGTCCTTGGCTTTATAGACGGTGGCGAACTAGGGACAGAGAGAGAGATGCTGCCGTGAGCAGGGCCTGACAGACTGCGCGAGGGAGAGGCCGCCGAGCCCACCTCAGGCCCGGGGTGGGCACCGCCCGGCGCCCCCCGCACCCCCATCCCGCCGCGGGCGGGCGGCGACACGGGCCGGGCCCAGCCGGGCTACAGCAGCCCCAGGGCCGCGGACGGCCCCTGCCGCGGTTGCTCACCTGCCCCTCCCCAAGAAAATCGAGCTTCTCATAGCGCTTGGCGCGGGCCCGCGCATCCATAGCCGGCGGGATGTGTGGTGGGAGCGGCGCGGATGCCCGGGAGCAGCAGCCGCCCTGCTCGGCGCTTTAACCCCGCGGCCCCGCCGCTTCCGGCCCGGCCGCTGCGAGCAGCGCACGCGCCATTCCCGCACGGATCGGCCCTCAGTTCCGGTGCGTGCCGGGATCCTGCCCGCGCCCGTGTGCTGCAACGGGCAGCGGTTCATGACAGAAGTTGCTTCTGGTTTGACCCTGATCTCACGTCTGACATTCGGGGAAGTTTCTGTATACTGTCTTCGATAGTCTTTTTAATTAAAAAAATTATTATTCTCTAGAAAGGGTGCTCTCAGGTACTTTGTTAGGTTCTACTGAAAATTCTTAATTATAGTTGTTTCTATAGTTTCTTCATTATGAGCAATTACCTAGCAATATAGTACTTAAAACTCAATAGCCATCAGAGGTAAATACTGGAGAAATTCTCACTTGAAAATTCATTTCCCTACATGCCCAAGCTTTGCTGTTATTTATTAAATTAGTCTGTAAGATCAACAAAACTGTAACTGTGAAGAACAGTACTTCAGTGTCTCTTTCCTGCCTGTAAAATCATTCCTAGTGAGACACCCAGGAGAGTCAGTCTTACCTCAATCCCTGGAAAAGTGGTGGCAGGCCTCATGCTGGAGGCCATCTCTATGTGGATGACAAGGAGGTGATCAGGAATAGTAGCATGGCTTCACTAAAGGTAAGTCTTGCTTGACCAACCTGATTGCCTTCTAGAAGGAAACAACTACCTGGATGGGTAAGGGGAGAGCACTGGGTATTGTCTACTGATGTCAGTAAGGATTTCAACAACATCATCATAGGCAAACTCAGGAAGAGTGGACAGAATGAGTGGGAAATGAGGTGAATTGAGAAGTTGCTGAATGGCAGATCCCAGAGGGTCAAAATCAGTGGCACAGGGTCTAGGTGGAGGCCTGTCCCTAGTGCTGTCCCTCAAGGTTCAATGCTGCACTGTTTAAATTACTCATCCGTGACTTGGATGAAGGGGCAGATTCCTGCTCAGCAAATTCAGAGGACACAAAGCTGGGCACAGCAGTTGATACCCCAGAGTGCTGTGCATGCTTTCAGAAAGACCTCAGCAGGTTGGTGAGATGGACAAAGAAGAGCCATCTGAAATTCAGCAAAGGCAAGAGCAGGGTCCTGCACCTGGGGAGGTACAAGCCCAGGCACCAGCACAGCCTGGGGCTGACCTGCTGGGGAGCAGCTCTGCAGAGAAGGACCTGGGGGTCCTGGTGGACAACAAGCTGTCCATGAGCCAGCAGCGTGTCCTGGTGGCCAAGAAATCCAATGGGATCCTGGGGGGCATTAGGAGGAGCATTGCCAGCAGGTGAAGGGAGGTGATCCCTCCCCTGTACTCAGCTGTGGTGAGGCCTCACCTGGAGTGCTGTGTCCAGTTCTGGGCTCCTCAGGACAAGAGACATGGAGCTCCTGGGGTGGGTCCAGTGGAAGGCAACAAATTTTATGAGGGGTCTGGAGCATCTCTCTTAAGAGGAAAGGCAGGGGGAGCTGGGGCTGTTCGTCCTGGAGGAGATAGAACTGAGAGGGGACCTCATCAATGTCTATTAGTTCTTGAAGGGAAATTGCCAAGAAGATGGACAAGGCTCTTCTTGGTGGTGCTGAGCAATAGAACAAGAGGCCAGACACTGATGCCCAGGAAGTTCCACCTGGACATGAGGAAGAACTTTGTAACTGTGCAGGTGACCATGCACTGGAACAGATTGCCAGAGAGGTTGTGGAGTCTCCCTCACTAGAAATACTCAAGCACCATCTGGACCCTATCCTGTGCCGTGTGCTCTGGGATGACCCTGCTTGAGCAGAAAGGTCAGAAAAGATGACCCACTGTGGTTCCTTCCAATCTGACCCATTCTGTGATTTTGTGATCTCAACCAGTGGAAAAATAAAATGACTCTGTTACATTGCTGACTTTTCAAATGGCTAATTAGAAAAATATTTTAATGGCGCAGACATAATATATATTCAATTGCTATTAGCCATCAACATAAAATCATTCTCGGTCACAAATCAGTATCTTGTGTGTTGTGTCGATCTTCTCACCCATCATATGGGATTTTATTAAAGCTATTAGTATATAGTAATTTTTAATATTAGTGAAATGCCTTTATTGTGAATATAATACCTCATTCTTCAATAATGGCCAAGAAACTATCTTCTACATTTATTCCGGACCTCCACGCTGTAAAAAAAAAGCATACAGTTAAATATATTCCATTAATAGAATGTAAAATTGAGATCAAATTCTCTTTTGCACTGTTATAGTCTAAGAGACTTAGTTCTAGTTTTAATTTCTGATTTAAATATTGACTTTTCTACCTATATAAGAACACGTGTAGAGTGTCAGATATCAGCATTACCAGTCATGGGTACATTTTTTTTCAAGGGAAATGTTTCCTAGTTAGAGCTGCTTCCATGTCTCTTTCTCTAGAGATACCTGCCTCTTAACCTTAAAAATGTCTGACAAACACAATGCTAACAGACACAAATTTTAAAACAACTTTCACTGCCTAGATTCCAAAGTGCAAAGTAAAAACAAAGCTAGGCTGAGTCATTACAATTCTAATGAGAAAACAGAAAGGTATTCGGTTCATTATTTTCCAAACAAAATTATTTTACAACTTACCTCACTATTAAACAAACTTACGCAAAAAAGTCAAGAAATGTATTACTATGGGAAATAATTAATTTTATTTCTACTATATTCATGCAGTCTACTTGCATACATGAAGGAAAACTGCTTTCCTCTACTAACATGATTACATTATACATGTCCTTACCATTTAGCAAAGCCTTGCAAGCACCTTTTCATTCCAAACTTACAATCACCTCACAAATTCTTCATATTTTGTGCATTCTCCTTTTTGAATCATCAGTTTTTACAACTGAGAATTGTTCCAGAACACAAGTAGGTTTTTCTTGCCTTTCATGTACAATATCATATTTACAAGTATTGCAGAAAATATTTATGACAAGTTTAATAAAATGCTTCCACTACTAGAAATACAAGAGTTAATTTATTAATAAATAACTTATAAAACTAGTTTGAGAAATATTTTGGACTTCAGTCACCTAGTAATAGCCTTTCCTGGTCTAAGAACAAACTTCTGTGCTCCTGTCAGCACAGTCAAATTACATATTAAACAGCTGTTATAAAACAGGTAGTGGTGGCAGTTAATGCAGGCTGTAATTATCACCAGCTTACCTGCACGTGTGTTCTAAGTCCAAATCTCTCTACTCAGTGGTACCACAAGCTACTATAAGTGAAAGTTGGGTACTTTCTGTATTAAGAATTGGGTATTGCGTATGAAAGCCACTGAAAGTTCAGAGCACACTCTTACACAGAATTGCTATGTAATACCATACCAGAAGATGTAGGAAAATGCTAAATAAAAAAACTTACTTGAATATATTCAATCTCTTCGTCTGACATTTGTTTCCTTCTGTATTTCTGAGGTAAGGTTCTTGTTAATTCAGAAGTGTCTGGTGTACCTTGTACTCTACTAACAGCTGAAATATTTTGAAAGGCTCCTACAGATTCCTGTGCTTTTGAAGCAAGGGAAGATGGCATACTTGCTTGTAGAGATTCCTGTACTGAAACCGAGATTTCAAAATAATTTACAGAAATATTACTAGACTGTAAAATTAATAAGCAGCCAATAAAATCTACCATTGCTTGAAAGTCTTACTCATAACAAATACCTAAAAGAATTAAGTCACTCTACTTCTCACAACCTGCTTTTATTGTTGTTAAATGTATGAGGTACAGAATCTAAAAATTCTGACAGTAGTTTGAATGGCAGAAACACTGATATGGAAATGGAATATATATCAGCACATACCATAACAATGGCTTTTTCACTGAGAAGCTGTACTTGGAGAAAAAAAGCATAAAGTTATGTAAATGTTTGTGTGTGGGCAATTATGTAGAAAGATAACTGAGATGACACTTTTTATTTACTGCAACTGAAAAGATGGACAAGTGAAAAAGATCTAGAGGCTTATAGAAAGATAATGCTCAAAACCACAACAGACCACAACATGTAATGCAGTGCTGTAGCCATTTTTAATATTACAAAATGCATCTATCACATTTTTTAATAATGTGCAGAATGACCACTAAGTGTCAGGCATCAACAATGAATGTTAATGAAATGCAAAGAGCGAGGAGTGCATGAAGTTCTTCATAGAGGATCAGGTGAGGATCAGGAGCTAAGCTTCAGGAATTCACATTAGAGCAGTTGCCTTGATTGTCCAGACAGAAAAGACGACAAAAATGGCAGTGTTGTCACAGTCGGCATTCCAAACCTTAGGTCTGTCCCACCATAGCTAACTGTACAATGGAAATATGCGATTGCCCCACAGGGCAGGACAGAGATCACAGCAATATGTTCATTTCAGCACTCTGTCCTAAATATGGGATGTGATCCATCCTAGGGTGATGAGGGAACTGGCAGATGAGCTTGAGAAGCTGCCCTCCATCATTTGCCAACAGTCCTGGCTCACTGGGGAGGTTCCAGATGACTGGAAGCTGGCCAATGTGATAGGCCAGTTAGCCTGACCTCAGTATCCAGTAAGGTAATGGAACAGTTTATACTGAGTGTCATCACACAGCCCTTACAGGATGGCCGGGGTATCAGACCCAGCCAGCAGGGGTTTAGGAGGGCAGGTCGTGTTTGACCAACCTGATCTCCTTTTATGACCAGGTGACCCACCTGGTGGGTGTGGGGAAGGGCTTGGAGTGTGGTCTGTTTGGACTCCAGCAAGGCCTTTGGCACTGTCTCCCACAGCACACTCCTGGAAAAGCTGCAGCTCAGAGCTTGGACAGGAGCACTCTGTGCTGGGGTAAGACCTGGCTGGATGGCCAGGCCCAGAGGGTAATGGTGAAAGGTGCTGCATCCAGCTGGGAATCATCACTGGTGGTGACCCTTAGGGGTCTGTGCTGGGGCCAGTCCTGTTTAGGATCTGCACTGATGATCTGGATGAGGGGATTGAGTCCACCATCAGTAAATTAGCAGGTGACACCAAGCTGGGAACATGTGTCAATCTGTTGGAAAGTAGGAGGGCTCTGCAGAGAGACCTGGAATGGTTGGATCATGGGCAGACTCCAATGGGATGAAGTTTAATAAATCCAAGTGCCAAGTCCTGCATTTTGACCACAATAACCTCCTGGAGCATTACAGGCTGGGGCTGGTGTGGCTGGACAGTGCCCAGGCAGAAAGGGACCTGGGGGTGCTGGTCAACAGCTGACTGAACACGAGCCAGCAGTGTGCCCAGGTGGCCAAGAAGGCCAATGGCCCCTGGCCTGGATCAGGAATAGTGTGGCCAGCAGGAGCAGGGAAGTCATTCTTCTCCTGTACTTTGGGAACGTGTGAGGTCACACCTTGAGTGCTGTGTCCAGTTCTGGGCCCCTTAGTTTAGGAAGGACATTGAGATGCTTGAGAATCCAGAGGAGGCATCAAGGTGAGGGGCTTGGAACACAAGCCCTGTGAGGAACAACTGAGGGAGCTGGAGTTGTTATCCTGGAAAAAAGGAGACTTAGGGGTGACCTTATCATTCTCTAAAACTTCCTGAAGGGTGGCTGCAGTCAGGTGGGGCTGGTCTCTTTCACCAGGCAGCAACTGACAGAATGAGAGGACACAGTCTTAAGCTGCACCAAGGGAAATATAGGTTGGATATTAGGAAAAAGTTTTTTATGGAAAGAGTGATAAAGTACTGGAATTGTCTGCTTGAGGAGGTGGTGGAGTCACCATCTCTGGATGTGTTTAAAAAAAGATTGGATGTGGCACTCAGTGTTATGGTTTAGTTGAGGTGTTAGAGCATGGGTTGGACTCGATAATCCTGAAGGTCTCTTCCAACCTAGTGATTCTGTGTAATGTAAAATACCTGCCAAAGAATGCTTCTACAGAAGTCCTTCCCAGTGCTCCAGAAAAATGAGCAAGACAAGTGCAACATCTAACAGCTGGACAGAGGCTCTATATAACTATAAAATAAGCAGCATGAAAACTGCATGAACCAAAGCATGTTAGCAGCTACACCACCACAGTTTTGCCTGGCTTTGTCCTTCCTGGCTCTAGCAAGACCAATGACCACAAAAGAGAGTGAGCCAGTTTTAGCCTTAATAAGTCTGATGCAGTTGCAGGATTGGGACAAACAATCAAACACCTGCAGCACTGTGACCAAGCCAGCATTGAGAGGCATATTCACATCCCTAGTTGCTCTGAGGAGCTATTTAGCTATGTGGGAGCAACAATCTGGTACAATGAAATACAGTTTTTGCTACAGTATTCAAGCAAGACAAAGTATGTTGCAGTTTACTAATAAGATGACAGATTCTGATGAAGATAGAAAAGTCTAATGTACTTAAATAAGATACAGTTACAAGAATCTTCTGACACAGAGACAAGCAAGAGGCCAGAAACACATTTTCAAGCTTTTGAGAAAGTAGTTCACTGGCATGAGAGATGGTGGATTGGGCTAAACAGTGCAAAATGTACAGAATTTTGACAGAAAGTTATAGCAGAAAATAGTTCCTGAAGAGTTCACAGGTAAGTCAGAAGAGATATTTCTATGCACTGTGGAGGCTTTCAAATGTTAAACTAAACTTAAAGCTAAACTGCAGGCTTGGTAATGCTGTGGTAAATACTGTAGGCACAGTATAATTTCAAAAGAAGTGAGAATAACAGAGCTTTTAAAGACAACTCCTACTTTTCTTTCAGGTGCTTTTTGACACAAAAGGACTTCTAAACCAACATATTGCTAATATAAATCTATTATTTAAATATAATATAATTGGGAATACCATAAATACCAACATAGGTATAAAAGTTAATGTCAAAGATTGCAATGAAATAATTTTTTTCTCTCAGCATTAATTAGTAACAAAAGAAAATATTTCTTAAAATGTACAGAGAGCTGGATCACCCAGCTATAATCATGTTTTGAAAATACAGCAGAAAATACATCACATGCTTCAACTAAGAAAAAATGAGGAAAATGCAACATAATTTATGCAAATATCACTGAATAACTAAAGCTGCTCCAAACTGACTTGAGCACAGTCATTTCAGTAAATATTAGTATTTGGGAAAATATGACTTTATATAAAGTAGAAAACAAATACTGGAAATCTTTGTGAATCTTTCTTGAGTAAAAAATAAAGATGTGCATGCATTATATCTCTACACACAGTTGTACAGAAAAGAAGTTGTGAAGAAAGTTCAAGAGTTGACTTCAAACTAAATCAAGCATGTTTCAAAAACCCCACTCCAACTCAGTTCAGTTGTATAGGTGAAAGAGAGAAATTGGGTCCTGGTCTTAAATAAATCAGTTCATGTAAAGAAATGTGGCACAAGCTGTATCCCTACCCAAAATACTTACTTTTAGGTCTGGGACCACTTTTTCTGTCTGGGAACTTTATTAATGGAGTATGTGGCTTGACTACCTAGAACAAGACCAGGCGGGAGAAACAGACACAGGTTACCGTGAATAGTAAAATGGAACGTACAATGTATCAAGCAACCACTCTCAACAGCTGCTCTCTGCACTACTACTCTGATACACTTACTACTTCTTGAAGTTCTAAGTTTACCCCATGAAGAATTTTACTTCAAAAAGTAGTCCTGCACCCTGATGTCCAGAGAAGGTGCAGGATTTGTCTTCCTTTTCTCATCAACATGTGTGTGCATAAACAGCCACTGCCACTGCATGAATGCAATCACAATGTATTCTGCTCTGGTGAGAACCCACCCAGAGTGCTATGTCCAGCTCTGGAGTCCCCAAAGCAAAAAAACCCATGGACATGCTGGAGTGAGTCCAGAGCAGAATACATTGTGAAGCATCTCTCCTGTGAGGACAAGCTGAGAGAGCAGGAGTTGTTCAGCCTGGAGAAGGCTCTGGGGAGACCTTACAACCCAAAGAGGGCAGGTTAGGAAGAAGGAAGATTAGGAAGAAATTCTTTATTTTGAGGGTGGTGAAGCACTGGCACAAGTTGCCCAGAGCATGTGTGGCAGTTCCATCCCTGGAAGTGTCTAAGGCCAGGTTGGACGGGGCTTTGAGCAACCTGGTCTAATGAAGGTGTCCCTGCCCACGACGGGGGTGGGGGGGGGCTGTAACTAGGTGACCTTTATGGTCTCTTCCAATGCAAATCATGCCGTGGTTCCACAGCGCTTTAGCAAACGGAATCGCGAGCTGTGCTCTGCCTGTACAAAGCACTTTCACCTTGGAGAAGCCCATCTTAGGAAGGAGCTGCCAGCCAGCTCCGTACCCGCTGCTATCAGAGCACCGGGCACCTGCGAGAGCGTGCGCGCCACTGCACAGCTCTCCCCAAGGACACCGACCGCCCCGGCGGCGTGTCCTCAAGCCACGACCGCCTCAGACCTGCTGCTCGGCGGTGGCAGCAGGAGAAGCGAGCCCCGCGGCCCAAGCTAGGGCCCGCGCTATCTCAGACACCGCCGTCCCGGGGCCGCCCTTACCTGCACCGCCCTGGTGGCGGCCGCCATCTTGCTGCCCATGGTGACGAGCCTGAGGGGCAGCTCCGGGCCCCGCCCACAGCCGCTAAGGCGCGCCGTGGGCGGGGCCTCTCCTGTGGGCGGAGCCGGAGCTGCGGCCGGGCCTGCCAAACAAACCGCTTTATCACGAGTTAAAAAAATCTCCAAGCCAAATAAAACATTTTCAGGAAAATAAACATTTTATTTTTATTATAGATCAAGACACTCACCTAAAAAAAAAAATAGCTGGTGATCACTCACCATGTTAAAAGGGAAGTTACACACCAAGATAACAAGGGATACTACATGCTCCCAAAACATATTACACCCCACGAGTCCATTTCCTTCAAACATCAAACAAACAACACTAACTGAAAAAAGCGCAAATGCTAGTCAAAACATGTAATTACAACACTTCTTAGCTGCACAGTTGACAGCATGAAGTCATTTTTGCAGACAAGAGTCACTGCTAACAAGTCTGGTATTTAAAATTTAAAATTTATATTTTAAATGTCTGGTATTTAAAATTATACAAAGTGCTAGGATTAATAATAATAAAAACAATAACAATAATTCCTAACTGTAGAATTGCTAATAAATTTTCCAGATTGAGCTTTCAACTGGGACAGAGCAGGGTCATGCATCTTTCCTTGAGCTCCATGGCCTGCTGGTCCCCAGGAAAGAGGTAAAGCCTCAGTTTAAATCCATTCCTACACGAAACCTTGAAACATTTCTTATGTTATTGTTGCCTTTCAGAGACAAATGAGAACTCCAGACAGAACAGCTTGAGGAGTGAGTCTTCAGATTGTTTCATTTCACCAGCTCTACTACCTGTTCAAACATTTGTTGTCAACCAGAAGACAAATTTAATTTCAAAGAATTGCTTGGACACATTCTAATTCTCTAGAGAAAATAAAATCTTTCAGAAATGTCAAGGATTTAAAAATTTGAACTATGTTTTTGAGATACACAATCTATCAAGCTCAGATAAAATGCACACATTGCGCGAAATGAAAACCACGTCTCCTGGCTCACTGAAGATAGACATTTTTTTCAAGCTGTAGAACAATTGCCTTTAAAGATGGATCTTCTGCCCAGTTAACTCCGCTTCCAATTATGATGTTCTATAAATGAGAAAGATTTACAGGTTAAAACAAGCCCTTGCAAAGGACAATTCCTAGTAAAATATCTCAAAGAAAACCTGCTATTTAATTTTTAATTTGAAAGCCCTTGAAATTCACAAGTGTTTGAAGTAGGCAGGATGGGGGGAAAAGGAAAAAAAGAACTATTGGTTTGGATCCTATTGTTGATACATAGGCAAAAAAACCCCAAATCCATGCTTTTTGATTTCCTAGAGGAGCTTGCATACTACCTCTATTTTAAACACAGAAACCTAGAGAATATGAAATAAAAAAACCACACAAAAAACCACAGTTAACATTTGCACCCTGCCATTCTGGATTGCAAATGAGAATTTAAATTTAACCAAACAGGATTTTCTCCACTTAGGGCTCAGAAAATTTCAGGAATACAAAACCAGGAGGTAGTTTTATACCCTAAATCCCAGTAAAACGTTAATTTTCTCGTTTTGAATTTGAGCTGTAACAATGTTACCAATACAAAATAGTAGCAGCCATAGCATGCAGAGCAAGAAGTCTGAACACTTCTTTTTGTCCTTGACATTCCTATGCAGCCTGAGAGACCCTTCACCTTAACCCAAACCATGAGGTTTTCTTCCTCACTTTGCATGACTCCAGGTGACCTGTCAGTCAGCTGCATGTATACAGACCAGCCCCTGGCACATGGATAACCAAAACGGCAAAGGCTATCGTGCTGAGAGAATTTGGAGACTGGACGTGGCTGCAGGCCAAGGCTTTCACAGGGCTGCAGGGGGTGACGCGAACAGAGAAGGCACATGGTCAGAGGGGGCAGATGGAGGCTCATTGGTAGCATGGGATCAACATCTATTTATTTTTTCTAACCATGACATGGGGAAACTGATTTGATAGGGTGCAGAGATGACTCAGAGTAGAAGGAAATACAACCATTACTGTGACAGATGTTCTTCAAGAAAGATGCATTATTTTTGTACCTTTAAGGAAACAAAGACAGAATGAAAGATTGTTTCTAAACCCTACAATAAATTAATGCAAAGATGCTTGTGATAATTTCATGCTCTTAGTCTTTAAAGCAATAGAAGTCTTCCTTCTATACACAGTTCTTCCATTACCACTGTTAAATTTAAAGGTTTAGAAAACACAGCTTTGTGTTGTTAAGTTATATTTGCCTCAGAGTATGCTATCTTGAATGTAATGAAAAATTGTAAACTTGGTTTTAAAAGCCACACAACATTACCTGGAACACGTTTTGAAGTATTGTAGTTATTGCTCTTTCTTTTTCTAATATTTGAAGTATCTTCTCTGTTTCAATGACATTCACGCTTTCTTGTTTCTCCTTTGGCTTTTTCATCATGTTCTGAATTTCCTGTAGTTTCTGTCCTCTGTTTTTTAGTACTGTTAATTATTAGGAAAATTAACCATTGTTAGGTGAACAATAGAAGTGAAGATATTCTTTTTCCTCACAGCTGCCTAAAGCACTTCCACTGAAATAACCCTAATTTCACACTCCACTCCTTCCCTCCAATACACCTCAAGATATTTCTTTTACGAAAGAGGCAACATATGCTGTGTCTACCTGGTATCAAACTATATCAATTGCCTCCCTGGCCAACAGCAAAACAGAAAGTACATGGTATGCTGCCTGCACTTCCCTAACACAGGGATTAATTTGCGCCTCTGTCCTGCACCCTGTTTTTGAGTGACACAACTTTTATAGATCTTTTTTATAACTCTTAAAGACCCTTACTCCTTTTTCACATTTCACTGAAACTAAATTTCAAAGACATACATAGAGCACATGGACATGATCAAGGAATATTACTATTTTTATAGGAAAACAGGCTAAAAACTAGGCTGATTAAAAGTGTTTACAAGCAGTTCACAGGTTGAAAGAATGCTGGCAGAGCATTCCTTCCTTTATTTGCAAATATATCAAGTATGTCCATTTTTTTGTGAACAGTTATTTTACTGTGTTTGTTCATTACTGCCAAAATATACACAAATCCCTATGCGTGAATCAAACAATAGCTTTTAAAATTGGTGGCAAACCTGGTCATGAAAGAAAGAGCATTCAAAGAACACATTTATCATATGGAGTTCTGAATACTGACGTCACATCTAAATTTGACCCACTCTAACAAGAATTACTGAATACCAATACATATACACTTTTTGTAAGCAAATCCCCTCCCTATTCTGCAAACACCTCATAAATGTGCAGTATGACAGAAGAGTATCTTTTATGTGCTGTTGAATCTTGGTTTTAAAAAGTTAAGATTTTTGCTAATTTCCATGACCAAGATATAAGTTAAGCAGGTAAATGGTAGGTTAATAATTACTAGATGCTTGGGCTAATTGGTATAATTATCTGCTATTATAAATTTATGCACAGAAGAACGTAAAATAAGTAAACTGTTAATCAGGAAGCATGAAGCCTTGGATCGTGCCATAGAGTCACTGAGACCTGATGAAGACTCTCCTGACTTCATCCTTTGAGACCACTGACCCATTTCGACACCACCGACCCAATTCAAGAGAAGACCTGCGCACCCGTGAAGGACGAATGGGCTCATTTTAATACGGGGTGGGGATGGGAGGTGCTGGGGTTATGCACATGTATTGTTTGTAAGATCTTGCGGAATAAATTGATGGCAAAGAACCTTGTTCAGGGCGGTCACGCCTTTCGGAGGTGACGCCCGTGCCACCCGCCGGTGAATAAACATATCACTTTGTAACTTTAATTAGTTAGTTAGAGGGTCTTTGTCCGTCATTATACCTGTTTTTTTAACGATTCACTGTAGGGTTGATTTAAATGACTAAACAACGTGTAACATTCTGATGAGCTTACATGAAATAATAAAATGCTGCCACATTGTTTTCGAGCTGTCTTGCATCTCTCATTCCAACGTGTTAGTCTCATGTTCAAGTAGAGAACACACCAGCTCATCTCTACAGTACTTTCTGCTATTTTAGTAAGTGTTGAGTTTTGTTACTTCCCACATAAATTAATATTGCTACAAGAACAACTTCAAAATATGAACTACAGGAACTCTACATTAAAATACAAACCAAAATCAATACAGATAACACACTTACAGAGTCTTTTCCTTTTAATGTCAATCAACTGCTGTTCCTTCTGATGTGCTCGCTGAAAGGAAAAAAAATTTTCCAGACTCTTATCTTCAAAAATACTGAAAGATGCTAATTCAATCCACATAAACAGCTAAGAGTAACTCTAAAACAGACTTACTTATATGCTCAGTTTAAGTAATCCACTCAATAATTTTGATAGCAGTAGGAACTGCACCCATGTCACCACATATTTAGCTTTGAATGTGCAATCCTGTTACTTTCAAAGTGCACTCCTGCCCAGACTGAGGTTGGTTGACCTGCGCAACAGTAAGAGAAGCTACAACTGACACTTACCTGCTGGTATTCAATTATTGTCTGGCTGAGCAACATTATGCGTTTCATTGTTTCCAGGATCAGACTAAGAAAGTAAACAGTTGCATACGTTAAGACCACTAATATCACTTAATATCATAAATGTTTTAATCAACTTCATTCCTGTTAAATAAAGAATTTCTCATTTATTCTAACAGCAAAATAATATTACATGTCTGAACACTTCTTTTTACAGTTAATATACACAGTCTCATAATAGAGGACAAAGAGTTCCCTCACTTAACCTCTCGGTTTCCCGATTTCATTTACATCTGTCCAACATTTTACATCACAGAGTTTGGAAGGCATCAAGAAAGCCTAGCCATCTGGAAATGGCTATGAATTAATGCTCCTAAATGATGGGAGATGCAATCTCTTAGCTGTATTTCTGACAGAAATTAAATTTCTCATATTACACTTCATATGCATCCACCTGTCAATAATGGGTAGGAAATTAAAAGCTACTTTTGAATATGTTTAAGCTTTCAGTTCTTCTTCAAAGACAGTTTGCTCCTACATAGTCAATTAATAAAGGTAGCAAAGCAGAGGCAAGGCCCTGTTAATAAGTGCTCGTCTATTATAAACGCAGGTAATTCAGGCACTGAAGACAAAAAGCTCTCTTGGCTACAAGCCTCTGACTAGTGAATCAGGAGTTATGATCTCTGTAATCAAAGATGGGTGATTTCAGAGCCCAACTGTAAATCTACCATGGGTGTATGAGATCTAATCATGCTGATTCGAGACAGAAGGTAGACAGTATATCATTCTGTCAAATCTAGAAAAACGAAGCTTGCTTTCACAAGAGGTCAAATGAAATAATCCAGATATAAACTGTATAAAGTCCATTCCTTTCTAGTCATCCGAACCCCAAGAATACCTTACCGTGAATCATCATCATCTTGTTTCAATTTCTCTCTCAGGGCATCCATAATTTGGATTCTGCGTATTATAAGAAATAACATATGACTGATGAGAACTCATAAGAAACCGAAAGAAGCAGAAAACAGAGAGAAGCAGATTTAAATAAGTAATAGAAAAAGATAATTTCCAGGATTCCATTTTCACATTGGAATTATATAAACAAAATACTCAGTACCTTTTAAACATCACACTTCTTAAATAATGGTACTTAACTCTCGGGACAGGAAAGAAGTATCAGTAAATATTTGTGAGAGTGACAACTCCTTTTTCTCGTGACCAACATATTTCAACACCATTAATCCCAGAGTTTACAGAAAGGAAGCTAGGAAAAGGTGTGAATTCAAATAAACAGCCATGAAACACATGAGATGTCTAACATTATCAACTTCCATCTTTTCACAGGCATTTATAAAGTACCGCCAAGAAGTAAGGGAACTTTTGAGTTTACATATTTCAAATGTTAAGTCTTTAGTTTTGGTGGGCTTTTTATTGTGTTGTTTTCCACAGCATATCCATCTGTTCAATGGTACTTAAAATCTCCCCAATCTCCCATATAATTTTAAAATCCTGTTTTAATCAGACCTAAGTATATATGCACCTATGTATGCACACACATAGAGCAAACCTCCAAATAAAGGGTCAAGAAAATTCTACCTCTGCAAGGCCAATGTCTTGTTCTGGAAAGAGACTTTTACTTCCTCCATATCACTTTGCAAATCTTGTGTGGCACTGAAAGACAAAAAGCAGAAAGACAGACAACCTGAGTGTGAAAATAACAGAGTTTAAAAGCAGTGTCATATTTTAACTTGCTTTCTATATATCTAAGAATTTTTCACGTGAGCCACAAATTATTAAGGCTGCGAGTAATTCAGCATGTGGAACTATATTAGGGAATTCTAGCCATCACATAAAGGAATGCAAATTTAAAAGACACATCAGATACAGAAGTACATTGGGATAACAAATAAAGCATTCTTCCCCCACATTTTCTTTTACTTTCCATTATTTTCACCAATCTTCTCCAAAGTACTGATTGCTAATTCAGGAATTCACTAAGAAGGAATAATCAGAGGAGAATTTTGAAGTTATCCAGTGACATACCTGTGGATATCGTTTTCTTCAATTGGATGATCAAGCAAATTTTCTTGACCTACAAAAGAGAACATCAAGTACAACAGAGACTTTTAAATACAATCTATAGACCACAAAGGATTAGCATTTTTTGTGTGAACAAGTTATTTCTTGCTTCTATGTCTATACTCTATTATCTTTTAATTACTACAGCTGCAGCTGTATCAGAGAAATAACTAGGCTTTAAAATATTTTAATTAGCACTTTTTAGATGAGCTAGAGCTGGTTCATGACATTTGTCTATATATGCCACTGGATGGCTCAGTGGAAGAGCATGTACCCAACTGCACCCTGGGCAGTATTAGAAATGTGGCCAGCAGGTCAAGGGGGGTGATTCTGCCCCTCTACTCTGCTCTTCGCCGACCCCACCTGGTGTGCTGCATCTAGGCCTGCCATTCTCGACGTAAGGTCACGGATCTGTTCGAGCAGGTCCAGAGGAGGACAATGAATATGATTAGAGGGCTGGAGCACCTCTCCAATGAGGAAAAGGCTGACACAGGGGTTGTTCAGCTTGGAGAAGGTTGCACGGTGATCTTGCTGAGTCCTTCCAGTTCCTGAATGGAGTTTATGAGAGAGCTGGAGAACTTTTTACTAGGGTATGTAGTGACAGGACAAGAGGGAATTGCTTGTACTTGAAAGAGGGTAGATTTAGATTAGATATACTGTAGGGTGGTGAGGCACTGGTAGAGAGATTGCCTAGAGATGCTGCAGATACTTCATTCCTGGAAGTGTTCAAGATCAGGTTGGATAGGGTTCTGAGCAAGATCGTCTAGTGGAAGGTGCCACTGTGCATGGTGGGGGGTTTGGAACCAGATGTGTTTAAGGTCCCTTCCAACCCAAATCATCTCGTGACTCTACAGGTAATGGAAACACTTTAAATCAGTACTGCTCCTAAACACTTTGGCAGACTTTTGGCAATACTTCCGCCTCAGTGACCAGATGGTTTTCTGAAAACCATCACCACATGTCAGAGAAGTCTAAAGTTCAGATCCAGTAAAGAAGGGAAAGGCCAGTGGGCAAGAACTATATGGCATCTTTGTAAACATTCAAATACATCCCGAAAGCTGCCTAGAAAACACGTTAAAATATACAGCCAGGGGAAAAAACCTCATTATCATAGGGAGCACTTTTGATAAGCAATTACAAAAAATATTAAAATATACATATACATCTATATATATATACACGCACACATACATATACATCTATATATACGCATCTATATATATGTATATACCACATGGCATTATTTGTTAGTGCAATATCCCACTGCGAGGAGGGATATCCTTACCGGCAAGAACGGCCGTGTTGTACTCCATGAACTGATGCTTCAATTGGTCCCTCATGCTGTGGCGGGAGTAAAGCGACAACGGTCAGAGGCTGCGCCTCCCTTCATCTCACCCCTAAACTGCTCTCCGCCCGTCCCGGCCCGTTCCCACTAACCGGAGCAGAGTGAGGACATTCTCCTCGTCGACGTCGCCAACCCCCTGGGCCCATGCCGGGGCCGGGGTCGGGGTCGGGTCCCGGAGAGGGGCCGGGGCCGGGGTCGGGTCCCGGAGAGGAGCCGGGGTCGGGGCCGGGGCCGGGGTCGAGTCCCGGACAGGGGCCGGGGCCGGGGTCG